CAAATGTTCAAAAAGAAAAGATAATTATTAAAAACTTTGGGTCTCATCTGCTGTTAAAGAGCTAAGCTTTCACGTTTCAAGAGCTAACTGAATTCCAGTCAAGACACCAGATTAAGACTAGAATTCAGAATAAAACACCTAGATAGAGACTTCTACTAAGGCCTATAAAAGTCACCCAGTCCATGATGTGGGACAGTGCTTGGTGCTCATTGGTGCACTTTCAGTACTCCTTTTGGAAAACTACACTGACTGCAATTTGGATTATATTTGGTATCTGAGATGTTTTACCATAATATATAAAAAAAAGGATGTCCTAGAAGGTACTAAGGTTTCTATGGATGATGATAAAAAAAGTAGGATACGCCAGTAGAAGAGCATGAGTAGAGGCTCCAGACAAGTTTGGAAAGAGTTGGATTTGCTAGGCCAGTGAAACAAAAATGTAACTTCTATTCAATGCAAATAGTGTACATGGGAGAGAAGTTAATGCAGTGAAGAATACAGACAGATCACAACAAAGGAAAAGAAGAAACACAACATTCATAGAAGTGGTGAAATATGCAGGGGATGTATATCTAACCAACCTGCTCAAACAACCTGAAAGCAGTATTAGGAAAAGATCACTGAGAGCAAATCTGGGCAAAGAGTTTAAGAAAATAAAGGAGTTAGTTAAATCCCAAATCCTAAGGCACTATGAATGTAAGTTCAAAACTAAATTGCACATAGATTTTTCCAAGGAAGATACTGACATGGCCTAGTTACAGTAGAGTGGTCAAAACTGGATATCATTGTTCAATGATCTCCTATGATTATTGTCCTATGAGTTTCATTGTGTGCAAAGAAAAAGACTTTGTTCTTACTACCTAGGTATGAAAAGTATATTTGTAGAGACCACTGTTAGCTGAAATGACCAAAACCCCACACTGAAGCACCCTCATGCCCCAGCCAGCCAGCCCCTCTTCAGCATGCTGAGCCGGGGTGGGGAGCAGCCCTGACCTGGCAGGTTGACCCCCCAGGCCCTTTGCCAGCTGGGGCTGCTTTGACCTGGCTCAACGTGCTGCGAGCCCAGGCGCATGTGAAGACATGGTAATTGCACATGTAAACAAGCCCAAAGATATTTAAAAGCATGATTCCTATAGATTCATTTTCTCTTTGGGGGTCTGAGCCTAGATTCTTCATTGACAGCATATACATGGGTCCAGCAGCTTATGAATAATACTCGTATTTTTGTACTTCTATATGTTCTCCCATCCAAAGGTATTGCAGAGCTTTAGAGAAATTAACTAAGCCTCCATTAACATACTAGCAGTATGAAATAAGTAGGCATTATTATCCTCATTTTACAAACAGGGGAAATGAAGTACTGAAAAGCTAAGCAACTTCTACAAGGTCACACAAAAACTTAAGCAAAGCTGGGAAGATATGACTGATCTCCTGACTTCTGGAAGTGAACATAAGCTACAAAACTAGCTTTTCTCCCAAATATTGTCACAGATTTTGGAAACCTATCCAAACAATTAAAGAAATTAGCTTTATTACTTATTTCATACTGTAAATACAAAACAGTAGGGATCCAATAATAAGGAAAAAATTTTTACTCATAAGGAATTATATACAATACCATATCTAAATCCATATAGCATTTATATCTTCAAACAATATACTCAGGAAAATGATAATAACATGCTGATTTTATATCAATATTCAGAGATTTAAATACCATTTCCTTTCACACACTAAATAACAGATTTGGATTCCAGTCTACATTATAAAGAAAGGTGCTCTTAAAGGGTGGTATCTTCAAAAGTGTCTAAGATATTTAGGGCAATAGATCTAATTGAAAATCAGTAAGATTTCTGTTCTTAAATCACAAAGGCATTTTTAAAAATCCCATCCAAGGGAGTGAGAGGAACACTGAGAGAAAAAAAGTGCACCAGTACAAATTGTATGAAGAACATATTTTGTTTCCACATGGTAAGCACGAGTTGATTTGAACAGGAAAAGATTCAGGAGCATTTTCAATTAACATTGTTACATGGCACCCACCTAGTACTGAAAATTCTGCCAAAAAAGAGACTGTTTGATTCTGCAATCAAATATTCAGAGGAAATTAATATCAAATATTAAACTCTATTAAAGTAAGCTCTTGTTTAGGAAAATAGTTTTAGAACCTGCTGAGTTCTAAACAGCTCCTTGTATTCTTTCAACCACCCACATATTAAATCATTCATTCCATTCGTTATTCATTCATGGACAATATACAGATTATGTCTTACAACTAACCTCAAAGAGTGAGGCAGCTGAATGCATACGATAAAAAATAGAAAAAGGCATTGCAAGGTTAACAACAATTATCCAAGGTTCAAAGCCAAAAACTATTTCTTCCAGTCCATTGTCATACACTGGGCGGCAACCAAATGCAGGTGGAATCCAGAGCTGCATACAAAGAAAGCAACAGTGTTAGTCATGATCTTTATCATCAAGTGATATTTGCCCATGGTGACTGCAGCACCACTACCATGCTCATTCCCTCTAAACTGGAAATGATCCAATATTATTTGATTTAAATAACCTCTAGGTCAGTGTTCTACTCATACAGATGTCAGCAGAGTTACTCCTGATTTATTCCTGGGTGAGAAAAAGGAAAATAAAGGCTTCAGATCTTATCTGAGTTGCTATTCAATGCAATATATTAAGGGGTAGTTTAAAATGCAGTATTGCACCTGCAACATAATTTTTTTTTTCATGGGCTGAGAAGTTGTACTGTCAGTATTAGGTCCAGAGTTCTAAAGATATTCAAGCACTGTGTGCATCTGTACTGTAGTGCTTAAAGTCCAGATTTCCAAAGGTACTTAAGTTCCAGATTCTAATAGGGCACATCTACACATGAGTCTACATTTTGATAGCAACGTGCTATGGTGATGTAGCATACACAGGCATCTAAACCAGACCAGCAGCTATGCTGTTGTAGCAATGCACTCCCTCTTTATAGTGTACTGCTAAGGCAATGTAGCAATTAAAAATAACTGTGTGTGGCCAGCACGGTGTAGTATGGGCTGCTACTGCACTATCATTTAGAACTTCCAAAAGGAAATCCTAAATGGTGCAGTAACAATGGCGCCATATGGCGATATGTAAAATCACCCACAGACACCTAAATACCTTTAATTATTGGGGCTAGGCATAGATGCATAAGGCTGGTGTCACACTTTCAATTTAACACTTACTAAGTGCAGTTAAAACATAAACAGTTATTCAAACAATTTTAGTACATGTAAGGTGCCACTGTGGCATTTCAAAATGGCTCCCTTCCAGGCAAGGAGTATCTAAGGATAAGTTACACATTACATTTAGACCACACTCACAGCACTTAAAAACACAAACATCTGCATGTTAAAGTTCATTAACTTGTGCTAAATGCCATCTCAGTGTCTCAGGGGAGGGTTAACTCTGGGCTGTGCTTCCTAGCTCCTGTTACAGTAACTTCATTCTGCTCCACAGAGATAAAACAAGCAATTGGCAGCACTCCAGCATTCCAGGATGCACCACTCCCAGCTCCCACCTCCACGCAGAGTAGGGATAGAGTCCAGGGATCTTGGCTCCTAGCTATGCCCCTGCTCACCAGCCGTCTAGTGGCAAGTGCAAGCAAGAAATGGTACTAATCCTTAACATGCGACTGCTCATAATATGTTCTAACTTTAATGCCACTTAACATTCCAGAGATTTAGTACAGTATAAGTGTAACATCTAACTTCACCCTAACATACTAACTTTAATACATTACAATATTAGAAAATTCCAATGATTTGAACCATTGCAAGTGAACATGTGACTACGCCCTAAATCTCAGTTTCCAAACTTAGATACTCTAAGTTCAAACTGCCATCTCTGAAAAACCTATTAGGTGTCCCTGCTCTGCGATCATGGGGCTGGGAGATCCTTATCTTTAAAAAATCCCCAATTTTCAGTTAAAAATCCCCAATTTTCGGTTTTAAAAAAGTAACCCCAAATTCATATTTTTCTGTGATTTAAATGAAACACCACTAAAGTGTGTGTGTGTGTGTGTGTGTATCGATCTCCCTTTCCAGTGGGCAAGCGACACAATGCGACACATAGCTAAATGAAGTACCATTACCATTATGTACTGTGGGACTACTTACACAGATTTTATATTCTACTCCCCCCCCCCGGTATAACCCACCTTGCCTTTCAGCATGCTCAGAGTGGATGTGCTACAGCTGCTTGTACTTTGTTATGAACCTATGTGGCCTGAGTGTGTGAATAAATTTTATGTAAGTCCTTGAAATGCTAGTTGCACAAAAACAAAACTAGTAATGATGCTGGAAGGGGAGCAGGAGGACACTTCCACATTTTAGCCTAATGGTTAAGACACTTGCCCAGGAAGTAAGATATCCAAATTCTACCCAAATACACTTTGCAGACTTGGCAGGGATGGGTGCTTCTTAGTATTAATTTAATGAGTTATAGTAAAAAATATGGGAGCTTTTTAGTATTAATTTAATGAGTTATAGTAAAAAATATCTTACCGAAAGATTACATAAGAATAAAAATGCTGCAATGTTCTTCAGTATTCTTCTCTTATTGTTAGCAACAGAGTTGCTACTGTAAAGTGAGAAATCTGAGGTTGAATGTATCACTGGACTGAAAACTTGACTTTTGTCTTCCTCAAGACTACCATTGCTACTGCTTTCTCTCACACAGACATTTCTGTTGAACAGGTACGGTAATTCTCCACTGTCAGCATCAACTGTCCCATTGTAAATTTCTTTAAAGGATGGGGTAAGTGACAGAGTGTTCTCCCTGGATATAGTTACTATTCGAAGAGTTTTAATGTCATCATTCACCTTTTCCTGTTCCTGATGTATGGATTCAATGATGAAGAGGTTCTGAATATATTTTTCAATAATAACCAGAATGGAATAAGGCAAATTATACCACGTATATTGTGGATGGTCTTGGGCACAGATAATTGCTAGAATAGAACCCCACGAAAGGAGCCATGATCCCGAAGCTGTACCAACCAGTAGGTCTGCATCCAGTTTCCTGGCAGGGTTTTTTGAATTATCCAATGATCTGTCTTCTAGTCTGTAAATTAGAAGGGCAACAATTCCAGCAGTACACATGAGGGTCAGTACTGAGATAGCATATATATAAAACATGGTCAGTGCCAACTCACTCTTGATTTTTGAACGTCCAATCTGAATCAAATACACAACAACAATTGCTATGGTGCTAGTCAGCACAGTTAGTCCAAAAATTGTGCCAATTGTTATGCCATGAAACTTGAATGGTATTTTGTGTTGTTGGTGGTGTTCCACTTTGCGTCCAATATTCTTCCACAGAACATACAGCATTGTTGATGCCAAAATATGATATTCTATGTTGAAAGGATACAGATAGTATATTCCTTGAGAAAATATTGAACAGAGAGTTGTTGTTGAACAATTACATTGAGGTGCATGGTCATCTAAAACTAAAAAGGAGGGAGAGATTAGATTCCCTTGTTTGATAAATATTTCTTGTTTATAATGAGACAATAACATAATAAGGAAAGTGCATTGGGTATATCATCTTGTATATTTAGTTACCTGTGGAAGAAATTACCAGTAACTTGTGATCAGTTTGCTCTCTGGGGACCACCAGTAAGTACTTCACTGACCACTAGTGCTTCATGGACCACATTTTGAGAGCCTCTGAACTGTATCCCTCACTATTTGATCTGTAGCAGCAGTCGGATGTTGTGTCACTTAGAATAATTTCCAGTTCAGCAAAGTATTCTGATTGTCCTGATTGTCAGGCCACAGTGTGTGCATTGCTTATGCTCTCCTCTTGAAGCAAGTATACTGCACTTGCTCTCAATAGTCATTGGATTGGCCCTCTGATTGAACTTGTAAATTGTAGGTGCAACTACATTCCATTTTTAAAAAATATGGACTATATTAAGCAGATTATTTTTTGCCAGTTCGGATGTTGACTTTTAACTCTAAATAGGAGGAATCGGAAATTCCAGATTACTATTAATTAATCTGCAGTGTAAACTAGAGAAAGGTAAAAATGTGGTCAGTTTGGTTTCCCTTTGCAAAGGCAGTACAAGTAGTTGTTAGGATCCAAATGTTATTGGATTCATTCAGGGAAAAATATTAATGCAAAAGTTGCTAGCTTACTTTCTCTTTCAAAAGCCTTTCCTCTCCTCTCCCCTGTAATGGCAACCAAGCTGCACACAACAGTACAAAAAGGTTTCAGGGATGGAAGAAAACTTTTCCAATCCGCTCCCATTTGAATTGCAGAGCACCCCCAGCTTCTCTTGACTTCAGTGAGAGTGGAGGGTGCCCAGGATTTCAGAAAACTATACCAAAATCCAGAAGACTAAGCTTGCCAAAATCCAGGACATATTGGTGGAGAAAGTTTACAATTACAATACATAGAGCCTAGTCCTGCAACCAAGTTTTGAATGAATAATCTTGATTTATATAGCGAGCTCCCTTAAATTCAGCGTGACTACTCACCTGAGGTAACCACTCATGTGAGAAGTTGGATATGTTGGGTGCATTAGATGTTTTCCCTTAAGAACAAGGAAGTAATTGATGTCTCTTAACAAAAATGCTGTTTGGTTGACAACCATGATTTATTAATAGAGAGGTATTTGGGGAATTTTATTAATCAAAATAAATATTTATAATATTTATTTGGTTTGGAACCTGTGGTCATTCTTGCAACTCTGGCTCTGATCCACTGAGGAGCTGAGCACTATCAATTCCACTAAAGTAAATGGGAGTTATAGGTGACCTGGAGCATTATAGCCAGTAGTAGTAGGCATTTGTTCAGTGGTAGCTGTGTACAGTATATAACTTTATCTTAGTGGAATAGTTTTTAATACTATCATGTGTTAGAGGAGAACTTCTGAAAAGGTACTGAGCCCTTAGCTTACCTATTGTTATGTTTCCAAAACCAAGCATGATTAGCCTTTCCTTGTGCTCATTTAGTTGATGTTTAGACTCTGTTAATACTCCATTTGTCCACAAGAGTAAATTTGTAAACACAGAATGGATTACCCCAAACCTAAAAAACAGATTAGTTATTGATAGAATCTATAAAAAGGAGTAGATCTCACTTCATCTTAAGCAGGGTAGATCACTTTTTGATAGGTACAATGTTTGACACTAATTTAGCAAGCAATGACAATAGTGCAGACCAAAAAGTTTCCTTATAGCATGCTCTGTAGTGAAAAGGAGTGGCTTAGTGCATTAATCTGCACTGTAAGTAGGATACTTATTATTTGTGACAATCCATTAAATCAGGGGTGGCTAACCTGCAGCACATATACCACAAGTGGCACGGACAGTTTCTGTGTGTGGCATGCAGAACATTGGGGAGGGAACAGTCAGCACAGGGGAGATAGGGCAGGAAGCAGAAAGCAGAGCAGCAGATAGGCCAGGAAAAGAGGATTGAGGTGGCACCAAGTTGTGACATACCTGCTAAAAAGGTTGGCCTCCCCTGCCTTAGTGGCATTACTATCAAAATTAGTGTACATCATTCTTTGGGCATAATCACTTATTATATAGCAACTTCCTGAAGGGGCTCATATAAAAGTTCATATTCAAGCCAATAAGTGATCAGTCTAAATAAAAAGCAATTTATGTTGACGCTACTCCTACCCAAAGTATTCTGTGCTCCTTTCTCACACCCACTGTACACATTCTTTTTAAGCTACCTCCTCCTGACCCCATTCACAACTCCATTTTCATTTCCTGAACAACATTCCCCATTTGAGACTGTCAAAACCATCTACTTGCTTTAAATCAGTAAAAGTAATGGGCATTATGGGCTAAGCTTCCTAGAGGCTTGGAAAACCACACTCTCTGAAGGCAAACCATTTGAGACATGATGAAAGATAAAGGTGTCTGGAGTAAGTAAAAGGATAATGGCTCAAAACATTACAATAATGTATGTGTACAATAATGGTCATAACATTGCAGTGGCAAACTGTAGCGTTTTGACGTATTTTGTAGAATAATGTAGTATTTTTCTAAGAACAATCTACTCTTTCTTCATCCACTTCCCACTGCTTACTCAAGTCTTTTTTCTCCTACACCAAGTCTCAGAGTTGCTTGCATTCTTTCCTTCAGATAGATTATCTGATCCATTCTTCAGCTGTCCTTTTGCATATAATCTGAAACTCACAATTAACACATTGCAAGCACTTCACTAGTAAAGAAAACTCATTTCACCAGCTCATCTTTCAAACCTTACTTTGAATGGTAATTGTGGCGGGGCACTTTTGGTCCCTGCCACTTTAAGGGCAAAAAAAAGGCAGCAGCCAGGTGCCTGATGAGGGCAAAAATTTTGGACCCAGGCATATAAACTGGGCTTCAGTTTGCTGCAGGAGGAAGGAAGTAACATCAGGCTGAGAGGCTGCTCTGGGCATAGTCAGGAGGTAAGGGCTATGGGTCTAGCCCGGGCACTGATTAAAGTGGGCCTGGTTGGGCTCCAAGTAGCCAGCATAGGGCCGCATGAACAAGGGCAGGAGCAGGTAGGCGGGCTCCCAGATGAGGAGGGGCAGGACCACCACGGTGCCCAGTGGCAGGTCCAGCACCCCCAACACGAAGCACCCACTCTTCCCCAGGCCCAGCAAGCCAGAGTTTCTGAAGATGTGGGTGTTGTGGGTACTGCCAACCCAGCCAGTGCTCACATGCATGAAGGTGCTATGCCACAGTGGTCCACAATGGCCCGGACCTCCACAGAGTGAAAGACTTTCCAGTTGTAGTAGGGGAGGTCTCCATGGGGTGGGCAAGTGACGGGGATGTGGATCCATCCAGGGCCCCAATGAACTGGGGGAATCCCAGGGCATGGAACCCCACCATCATTGCCAGAGGGTCATGGACAGAGCATGGTGTCCCCCAGCACATCCTGGAGGCTGCTGTACACTTTGAAGCCAGCTTCCCTAGTGGTGGCCTTGCCCACGCCAAACAGGTGGCTGACATACCACAGGCTAGGGGGTGTCCAGCTTGAGCAGGGCAAGGGTGTCGGGTGTCTGTGGAGAGGCCACATGACAGTGTTCTGCCACTTCAGGTGTGGCCAGAGCTGCTCCAGGAAATCCTAAAAGGTGGCCCAGGTCATCCTGAAGGCCTCCGGCCACTGCTTGTCATCCCAAGTATGCTGGATGACATGGTGCCACCAGTACTGGCTGGCCTGGCAGGCCCAGAGGCAGTGGGGCTGGAGGCCCAGGAGCGCAACAGCAGCCCCAGCGGTGGCATCCTTGAACCCATCATCAGTGTCCCTGCTGGGGTCTGGCCAGACAGACGCAGTCAAAGCACAGATGTGCAGCAGTGGCCCTGGGGTGGCACGTGGCAGGTGGGCAGGCAGTTGCTATGCATAGGGGAGCCAGGAGGGGTGAGACAGCTGTGGACCAGGTATGGTGGGTCAGCAGGGCCAATGCGACAGCCAGCAGGAGTGCATGGTGCTGGTCTTTGCTCCCAGGGGCAGGAGCAGCTGTGGTGCAGGGAGGCAGAGGCAGAGAGAAGAGTGCTGCCCCTGTACTGCACATGCAGCTCCTGCCCAGGAAACTGGATGGCCAGAGATCAGCAAGCAGGGCTGGCTTTTAAAGAGGGTTGCCAGCTTCTTGCAGCTGCAGATGAAGCCTGAAGCTCCCCGCCAGTGATGGCAGAGGCCCATTGCAGGGCCCCAGGAAGCAGAAGCAGATTGGCAGCAAATCTGGTTCTGCTTCTCTGCACTTGTAGATGTCTGCCTGACACCATTTACTCATTTTACTCAACATTTACTCAATTTACTCAAGAGTAAACTGGTGCCACAGCAAATGCACATGTAGATGCGTCCAATGTTTATTAATACCAACAGTTGGTAAGAGCAAAAATTTCTGGACTGTAACATTTACTTTGGGAATTTATTCAGATGACACTTCCTATATCTGCAATAACTACTTGGTACTAAGAGCAACATATAGCATCAAGGGATCAAGATGATGCCACTAACAGTCATTGAGTGTATTTTCTGTGATTTAACAGAACAATATTTTTTAATGACACACTGTAGATGTGGTAATTCTGGGCATGTGTACACAAGCATTAATGTGCCGTAGTTACAGCACATTAAGTGTAGTACCTGTAATAACAGGTACTATTTGAACATGTACTAACTGGTGCTCCTGCGCAGGAGCGCCAGCACACTCCTTTTTAGTGATGCTAATACACAGTAGACTAATTCTGCTGTGCATTAGTGCAATAGCATGGCTTTTGCTGTGACACGCTAATACACAATAGAATTAGTCTACTGTGCATTTATTGTCTCATGCAGACGTGCCCACTGGGCATGTCTACACGTGCATTTACTCCAGCTTAACTTACCGTGCAGTAAGCAACAATACGCCAGTGTCTACACATGCAGGCATTAAAGCGCATTAACGCTGTGTGTGGACTGACTTGGGACTAAAGTTAGTTCTAAGTCAGTCCACACACATAAGTGTTACTGCACAGTAAGGCATCTACATGTGTATTACTACGCAGTAACTAATCAGCCATAAATTTGATACCTATGCAGGTATCAAATTTATGCTCAAGTCGGCATAAGTCATCATATTTACTGTGCAGTACAGGTGTGCACATGTAGACACGTGCCCATACTGCACAGTAATTTTGGTTACTGTGCATTAAATGCGCACATGTAGTACCTAACATAGGCTCTATTGTTTTCCTAGAGTGGAGCCAGTAATGGAAGCAAAAAACCAAAATATCATAAACGTTTCAAGAGTACTCCCATGGTTGCATCAACTGGCCCCAAGCTGTGCAAAAAGTGAGTTAATGGCACAGTTAATGGGGTAAATATTGAAAAATCTTTTAACTTAGTAAAGGCCTCAGGGGTGTCCAGACTTGACTTCCTATGTGTTAGAGATGGACCCATTCCCAAGGGAACATGGATCACCGAATCATACCTGTCTCAATAAGTAAGCACAGTCATTAATACATGGGTTTTTTGTATTTACATAATGCTCATTGGCATTTATAGTATGGTATGCAAATACCAGAAAAGAATAGAACCCAAAGAAAAAATTCTGAATCATTTACTGATTTGTTTTCTATGGATATTTGGCTAGTCCTGTAGTTTGTTTTGGATTGATGTTTTAAGATCAGTATTTTACATAAATATTTGTCAGATGTCAAACCTTGTTTGCCTGAGGTCTGTAGAGCTTCATCATTATACAATATAATATATGATGATAGCAAGCCTGTCATTGAATGCCTCAGTTATTCAGTGCTTGTCTACACAATGTACAATAAACTAGGGTGGGACTTTACTAGCTATGGTACACTAAATCCTTATGTGGATATTCTTAGTAGACACTAGGCATGTCTACGCATGCATGTTAATACAAAGCAATAAACTCCAGAGCTTACTGCTCTGGAGTTTATAGTTCTGGATGTGCCATTTGCACATGCACCCAGGACCACAGCACGTTGAGCCAGGTCAGAGTAGCCCTGGCTGGCAGGGGGCCCCAGGGGTCAGCCTGCCAGCCCAGGGCTGCTCCCTCCTGTTCAATGTGCTGTGGAGGGGCTGGCTGGGGCACAAGAGTGCTCCAATGTGGGGCTAGCTGGCAGACAGGCCCCCCCTGAAGCACCCTCTTGCCCCAGCCAGCTGGGGAAGCATCTACACATGAGCTGCTGCTAAGTATAAAACTCCACAACAAGATAATGCTTGTAAATACTCTATATAGTAAATATAGTAAAGTACTATATAGTAAATATAGTATAGTATATAATATAGTAAAGTATAGTAAAATATAGAAAATATAGTAAAGTACTCTAGTAAATGCAAGTACTATCTTGCTGCTGAGTAAATTAGTTTACTCCAGCCTAATAGGGGCATGCGTGTAGACGCAAGATGTTTACTGCTCAGCTAATTAGTCTACTGCGCAGTAAATGTCTTGTGTAGAGGTGCCCACTAAGCACAAGGTAGCTTACTCTACCTTCTACATAGAGTAAGCTAGTACATAGTATTGAGTTTTCAATATCTCACTTTCAGCACCGAAATGGCACATATTCAGCCATGTATTAATAGTTTAGTGAAACAACTGCCCTGCACACAGTATGGTGACAGAGGAAGAACTTGTTTAACCTAATATCTTTGCCCACAGAGCAAGAGACCTAGGCTCAAGCCCTCACTCACTCAGAGGAGATTCAAATTTGCATTTTAGCAAGGTATTCTGATTGTCAGACCACAGTGTGTGCATTGCCTATGCTCTCCTCTTGAAGCTAGTATACTGCACTTGCACTCAATAGTCATTGGATGATTTGGATAACCAGCACTGAGAAAGTTTCTGCTCCACTGGAGCAGGGGCCCAAGCCAGGGCTCAGGTTCCCCCTACTTTCCAGAACAGCATTAATCTTATTGAGCCACACACCCCTCTGACTTGCTTGCTTCCTCCTGCTCCCATATATCTCCCTCTCTTAGTGTTCAGTGAATCAGCTTCAAGACGCGAGCTGTAACAATAAATATAAATAAAGCTACATTCTATAGTTCTATAGTTCTCACTTACTCTTATCTGAGTATCTTCATTATCCAATGAAGTCATGAGGAAATTCATCTGAGTAAGGACTGTGGAATAAAGCCCCGAAGTATTGTCTTTCTGACTAACAAGAGCAATATTCATGTTATATTTTTCTTTCTGTAATGTAACATTTAGCATGTGTATAAACATGTTCAGGTACGTGCATACAGACAAACATCAATATGCAAATTCTTGAACAAAAAGTGAGATAATTATCAGCCAATTTTGGTACCTCAGAGAAGCATCCGTTCTAAGACCATCTGTGTATTTAGCTGCTTCAGATTAATAGGATACAAAAACTACAGAATAGGAGCCAAGTTCTGCCATCAGGTATGTGTTCAACTCCTACTGACTGTTGTGGAAGCTATATGTTTATATCTCTAATCAGAATTTGTCACACTGTATATTTACACACTTCTAGCTAAACCAAATAGGCACTCCCCTATAAAGATTAATATAAGAAATTAAATGTATTGTAAAGAACACAGCTACTTTACATAGTGGATGGTATCCATACCCTTTAGACAACTAAACAAAGAAAATGTAGTCTGTACTTTTGAGAGATATGGATGATATTTCCTTACCCTGAGAAAAAATAAGTGTAACTCCAAAAGATGGAAGGTCATTATGCCGTAACAAGCTTGCCCATAACTTTAATTAAAAGGAAAATGTATACCTATTCTATATATTTTTTGCTACAAAAGTATTAAAACTATTTAATTTAAAATTGCTAATTAAAATAACAATTCTCTCTTCACTCACAAAGGTGAAACTCTTTGGGATGTACCAACATATGTAAGAAGAGAATCTGATTCCAAAAATTTTCAGTATCTTCCTTTTTATTTAATACTGTTTACCACATTAGAGTAAGTGTTGTACTTCCATTCATACAAACTAAAATTAATATTATAGATCTTAATAATATTCACTTTACCTTTCAAGTGTTTTGAAAGACTGGATTATATCCTTTGCATGACACCAAAGAAAATACACCTAAATGGAAATAAATACAGATAAACTTTACTCTTTGGAGTAAATGTCACTATGCATGCATGCATGAAAGACACTCAGCAAAGAATGTAGATATATAGGAAAACACCAATGGCCAATTCTCTGCTGGTGTAAACTGGTGCAGCGCCACTTCCATACAGCTCTATTGATAAGAATGACCCCTGTACCATTTACTCAGAAACTAGTTTCTTGCATATGTGCAAAAGAATGGAATGGTTCAACAGTAGACATTTTTAATATGACTAATCCAAAATATAAACCTTAAGATTTCTCTAGCTGATAAAACTGTTTTTTTCATTTTTAATGGTGAAAATGAAGGAAATTGCAAAATCACATAAGTGCCAAACTGAAATCACCTGCACAACACAGGCAGAGCAACACTAGCGGGCAATCTTTTGTGCACTGCCTTGCCTGTGAACCATGTTTTCTGAAAGGAGCATTTCAGTTTGTAAGAGGTTAATATTGTGTCCCTACATATTGGCCATGTCTCACAAGCTGCTGACTGCACAGTTATTACTGCACAGTCGCTTAGTACTTGCATACCCAAGTACTAAATGACTGTTCAGTAACTGGCATTACTGCACAGTAGTGTCCCTGCATGGCTTCCTGGTGATTCTGACTACACACTAGCTCATTACTACTGTGCAGTAGCACTGCATCATGGTTCATGCCATGCAATGCTGTTGTGCAGCAGTAAGTGTCTTGTGTAGACACAGCCATTTAGTAGTTGCAATGAATAAGAAGAGTAAGATGGTAAATGGAATGAAACATCTAAGGCACTGACAGAAGTGACATTTGTTGTACAATCGGCCCCTTGAAAGTGCTCTACAGCCATTCCCTGACAGAAGTGCATGGCTGCAGAGTGCTTTAAAAATGCCCGATCCTGTGACAAATTAACCTTCATGTAATGAGAGTTCAGCTGAGGGCTCCAAAGCAGAGCACCTTTATTAACTTCTGTCTGTCCCTGCATAAAATTAGGACTTGGCTGATGCAGCCCAGCCCCACCCCTGGTGCTGTCTGCAGGATGGGAATGGGGTGAAGGGAAGGGAGGAAACTCCAGGCTGGGGCTTGCCCAGCCTATGCTGGAAAACGGCAGGTAGACTGGAGATAGGAGAACGAGGCAACAGATAGGCAGCTCCTGGATCATCTCCAAAGTTGAGATCAATTCCTCCACCCCCAAACCCAACAGTGAACATGAGTTAGAGCAGGGAGCTGCACATCTGTCAGCACCCCTAGTTTCATATGGATGCTGGCATGAAACTTGGAGAGCTTAGCAGCACAGTTGGGCTCCAAAATACTAATTGATTTATCAACTTTATCTCAGCTTATCTGTTAACTGAGACTGCTAATAAGGATACTTTTTTTTATTTTGCATATCAACAAGGAACCATTACTATTAATTATTATCAATTAAAAGATGTGAGCTAGTACATTCACATTCAGCTTTACAGGCATGGTAGAATGAGTTAAATCTCCTAACCCAAGTATCTGACAGCCTAAAATAAGAAACCATATAAGAAACAGGAGGCAAGTTACAGGACAGTGGTTCAGATGAGAAATTATTGGAAAGGAGAACAATGTAAGGAGAATTCCTAGAAAAAAAATAAAATTCAAGGAGAGTTACAGAGAGAGGTGGCTCCTTGTGGTCAAGGAATGAGACTAATCCCAGAATAAGGCAGTGGCCTGCTGAAAGGCACAAAGCTAAGAGGAGGTAAAGAGAAAGGACCATTTAGGAGAGGTGAATAGAAGGAGCTTTAGGAGTAAAAGTAGGCAGCAGTGAGCGCATCTATATGTGCGTTTTAATGCACAGTAGCCTATTTTACTGTGCATTAAAGCATCACATAAAAAACATGCAATTAAGCTAATACACAGTAAAATAGGCTACTGTGCATTAAGCGTCACTTTAAAACTGTGCACATTTGTTACTGTGCAGTAAGGCAGTTTAATGCACATTTGTTTAGTACCTCACATTGGAAGTACTAAATTTAATGCATACTAGGAAAAGTGCCTTAATGCATATGTAGACACATCCTGTGATGCTTCTGTAAGGCATAGTGAGGCTGAGGATATTGAACTTAATGAAGTAATAGACAATCCACTGAAAGGATACAAGGTAGAATTAAATACACAAAAGAGGAGGAAAGTAGCTTAGGAGAAGCAAGACAGAAAGTCATAAGAAACAATCTGAGGGACAAACCACAGCATGTGAGAAGTAACAGCCATCAGGATAGTGTGGACATTTTTTTTTTTATTAAAGAGGAAGAAGTAAAAATGATTTGCTGGAAACTGGGCATGCAGGTAAGTGTAAGTGAGGTAAAAGAAGAATCAAAGATGTTTCTCATATTTTAGAAGGATAATAGAATGAGGACTTCAAGATTTCTCTCTCTCGCTCTCTCCTTCTCTGTACTATTTGTTGCAATGAATGAGGAATGCAAGGTGATGGTGAAATGGTTCCATAGGAATACTGGCATGAAACTTGGAGGCTTTAGTTGCACAGTTAGGTTCCAAAGACGCTAAAGTTTGACAATAGGTAAACTATTTGGAAAGGATCAGCCAAAATTTTTTTCTCTTCCCCATGGAACCTTTAAAAATAACATGAATTTAAAATGTATTGTATAACTACACTAGTATCTGCCCATGAGCCCAGGGGAGTATGTAAAATATACCTGGGGTATTTCTAAAAATGACATTCTAATAATGTCCATTACTTCCAGTTGCCTAATTTTTATGCCAAATTTGAGACATACAGGGCACCTACAGACATGCAGTGAGGCTGTTCCAACACGCTGTAAATACAGCACTTCAGAACAGACTGGATGAATGGTAATTACCATGCTCCAGCAGGCTCCAGAGTCACATGTATCAGCATTCCCGCACTAAAAAATGGTGACGGGGTGCTTTAACTAAAGCTCGTTTGATGAGCTTTAGTTAATGCGCCCCTACCATCCTTTTTCAGTGCAGGGATGCTGATACACATGATGCTGCAGGTGCTTGAATTAGAGCAGCTCTCAGAGCAACTCTAATTAAAGTGCCCCCCACCCTCTCCCAGAGCACGTGTTTAAATGCACCCAGTGTCTGACTTTCTGAAGGGATGAGTACCTACACTTTCCATTGACTTCAGTTGGAATTATGAATACTCAGTACATCTGACTCAAGTCCTACCCCACAGAATAGTAGTACTTAAAATTAATGGATAGTTTTGAAAATACAGGTCTCTATCTAACGGCAAGCTTTTGGCAAAACTATGACTCCTAAACTTCAACTACTTACTATATCCTGCTATGGGCAACATTCTTTCAAATGTGTGCACCTGTTTGAAGCATTTCAAACAGCATTTTGAAGCATTTGAAGCATTTTACCAAATTCACATGCACCAAATAACTCTAAATGTTATCAGTGTTTGAAATTAAATCTGAATTTTGCAGCTCTGGCTTATCTCTCTTTAAATGTATATACTTTGACTTTCCTGCTTCATTGTCCATTTCCATGATAGGTTCAGTAGAATCTGCTACCATAACAGAGTGGAATTTCTCTAGTTAAGTAAAATCATTTAAAAACCTTTGTTCAAGCTCTGAAATTGAGAGTACAGGAAGAAAAAACAGAAAGGGAATAGAAAGTAAGGTTAAGAGGTAATAATAGGGATGATAATATAAAGTCCATCCAGCAGTCCTTTTGCTCACAGAACCCATGGGAACTCTATGGAAAAGAAGATATAAACCAAAAGTTTCTCGAGTATTTGGGTTGGATGCAGTTCATTTTATTTGTTGATTTTTTCCCCCTATAATTGTACAAATAGTGTAGACAGAGATGATCCTTTCTTGAACAGGAAGTTGGACTAGATCAATAGAAGTCAACTTTTTTGGCAGGTATGCCACAAATTAGTCCTGTACCCTTCCCAAGTGCCACTCTGATCCTCTTCTCTTGCACAATCTATTGCTGTGCTGCCTGTCCTCTTCCCTGTTGCATGCCACATGGAGAAGCTGCCTTTGTCACTTGTGGCACACATGCTGCAGGTTGGACACCCTTGGACTAGATGACCTCCTGAGGTCTCTTCCAGCCCTTTTTGCATAATTCGAAGTTGTGCTTTTTGAGTATTTGTTAAGTTACTCATAAGAATAGCAGTGCTTCAATAAATTTAAGCAAATTAAACCACAGTAAAGCAAAATATGAAACCAGTTGAGAAATAAGTCTCACCATTATATTTAACAGAGGCAATTAGCAACCCCCTCTCTACTTGTTCAGATTTTATATTGAATACAAAGTAGTAAGAAAATTTGTCACGTATAGATCTTCCTGGGATATGTTTCTCTTCTATCCTTTCTTAGAGTTAGCTAACTATCAGTTTTAGCCAAGAGAATCTTTGATTTCTCTTGTCTTGTGTTCTGATTCCTACACACAGCAGTAAGTGGCAGGCAGGGACCTTGGCTGGTTTTAGTGAGAATTGCTACATGCAGACCTACAGGTGGAAGAGCATTGAAATGTTTGTTTTTGACATGTGAAGGGTGGAAATACTAGATAAGGAGATTTTGAAGAAATTTCGGTTGCAATCCTGAATCTACTGAATATAGTAAGGCCAGGATTTTACCCTCAGAGAGGTAGTTAGAAGGCATTTGAGCTGTAGCAGTCATTATCTGGTGAAAGAAAATGAAACATCTAATCAAGTGCAGTATTTGATGCCACGAGATATTGTGGAGAGAAATGTCTAGAATTAGCAAGGAGAGGAAAATGTTCCAGGGCTAATTGTCTGCATGCGCTGCTATGCACCCAATAATAATTGGGTAAAAGTCCAATATCATGCTTCAGGGTTAAAACCCATCATTTACTGGTTTCAGGAAGGAATTTCCCTGACGTACAAGTATTGCATAACTAAAAAAAACACATTATAGAGGAGTTTTGCTTTCCTTTGAAGTATCATTCATTACCACTGCCAGCAACAGGATGCCAGAGTAGATGAATCAAGAAACTGAACCAGTAGGGCAAGTTCTAAGTCCCATACAGAAGCAACAGTCAAATGTATTTAACCAACCCTCTCATTTAAGAGAATGACAACAGTCATATGCCACACCTGAACTAAGAAAAGATGTATTGTTTCAAATTTAGGAACATCCTCTTTACTTGCATGTAAGATTTATACATACACCTCTATGTATGAGCAGTTATTGCATTTTCAGATACCAAGAAGCATTGTTTACTGCTAACTGGAAAACTTAATGCTTGCTGCCCAATTTGCCTTCACAGATTTGACTTTGGCTGCAGAAAGGGATGTGCATGTATAGAAGTTTAGCCTTTAAAACTTAATCTTTAGGCTAGGGACAGAATTACACATAAACCAGTATAAGTGATTGAAAACCAGCTCAAATCTGTAACACAACAGAAATTCAGTGCACATAAATCTCTTTCAAAATGGCTGAAACAGGTTTAAGATAACCCTGGATGGATGTAGTATCACACTTAAATGATTTAAGTTAAAGCGGTTTATTGAACTTCTATCCCAGATCCCCTCCAGATTCAAGCTGTCTGCTCCAGCCAAGCAGGGAGGCATGATCTAGTGCCCTCTCCTCCCCCCTTCCCCCCAGCTTCTGGCCTGAGCCACTGCAGGCATGTGGCTGCATTTCTGGAATCAAAAGAGAATGTCTGTTCATTTGATTATCAGTTCAATCTATGCAGCCTAGATTAACTTGTAAAGACTGAATTGATTCAGCCTTAGACTTTCTGACCATCTGTACTTAGCCCAGAAGTTTGGTTCACATACACTGCTTTTAAAATGGCCAAAACCAGTTTAAGATAAACCTGGATGGATGTAGTATCAGACTTAACTGGTTTAGGTTAATCAGTTTATTGAACTTCTGTCCCAGATCTCTTCCAAATTCAAGTTAATTCACCATCCCCTGGCATCCCAGGATGCTTTGAACCTCCCCAACCCCCCTCCGCCCCTCACAGGGTGGGTGGGATAGCTTTGGCTTAAGCTGTCTGCTCCAGCGGAGCAGGGAGGCATGCTCTAGCACCCCCCAGCTTCTGGTCTAGGTCACTGCAGGCATGTGACTGAATTTCCAGAATCAAAAGTGAATGTCTGTTCACTTGCTTATCAGTTAGACTAACCTGAAAAGATTGAACTGATCCAGCCTCAGGCTTCTTGACTGTCTGTACTTAGCCTTAATGTTTGTAGAACATTAGAACTGTACTTAGTACATGTGGCATTGAAAAGACAAAACTTCTGCTTGGTGAGAAAAACTATTATACAGTGGCTTTTACCTGTAAAAGAGTATGCACTGCATGTGTAACAGGAAAAATGCCTTCAGTTGCAGATAAACAGTTGGAAAATCCAATAAAATAGCCTATCTTAAAAGAGTCCATAATTAAAGTAATCATTGCAAATAAGGTAATCCCACCTAAAGAAAAAAATATTAAAAATATTAATATACACTTGAAGTGTCCTCAGAGAATCTATATAAACAAGTGAAAATTCTTATTCTGAAAAGGTTACATCTAGAGACCAATAATATAGGTAAACATTCATAAAACAAGTCAATTCTATTAAATAAATTGGTGTAATTCATGTAATTCCTTTCACAACTTATTATTAAATTATTATTATTTATATAATTATTACTAATTATTATTATTATCATTAAAGCCTAATCATGATCCATGGAAAGCAAAATGGAACTGAGACCATTCAGCATCTTGCAGACAGTGCTCAGCACTTTGCCAGATCAGACCCTCAAGTAACTGAAGCACAGAAACAGTTATACAGGGAAATGAATTAATGTACTATATACCTACAGAGCAAACTATACAACTCAGAGAGCTAAACAATAATGTTACAGTCTCCTGACCCAAGGGTTCTACAGAGGGAAGTAATACAATCACTTGGTATGCCCTCTCCATTGTTCATAGGGTTATACTGAACCACTATAAGTCACAGACCAAAAATATAATGATTTGTACGTTTTTCTTCTTTGAAAGAAACTTAAAAGACTTTAGACTTTATGCTGGGAAAAATTATTTTAACCACAAATTTGAAATAACTTAGTATTTTTCTTTAGGTATTTATATAGGACTTTTTAAAAGTTTTCCAATAATAGTTTCTTTAATGTTTTTAGCATACCTCCAGTGCTTTTCCTTTAGAGAGATAAGCTGATTTCTGAAAGCTGTATGATAAGATAGCAGTGTGTTGCTATTGAACTTTATTGTATCAGCATAGTTAAACAAAACACAGTTAGAGATCAAATTACTGAACCAAACTCCAAGTTCCTTATTCAGTACTCTCCTAAATCTTTACTCAGACAAATTCCCATTAACTTTAACTAGAATTTATCTGAGTAAAGACGAGGTGAAAACTAAAGACCCTCAGAACTTAGACCATCATGAATAATAATAGCTTTATTTCTTATTCCCCATAGAGGTTTATAGCATAAAGATGATAAATGGAATAAAGATGATACGTGATATCACAAGAGTTGATTCTGTTCAATATCATATTCCTCAAAATGAGCAAAATCATGATCCCCTTATTAACATGAAATATTTCACTGAAATTAGTATTTTAGGATAATGTATATGTTGTTTCCTAAAAATAAAAATTCAGAAATAAAATAGTGACCCATTTTTCTTACACTAACACATTAAATATCCTACTAAGGTTAAGTATTGTTTGAATGAAAATTTAAAAAATACAATGTAACTGGTGATATCTGGAGAACTATTCATACTTATAGTGTATTCTTCTAGTTATTCATGTGAGACTTTATAATAGACAAGAGAATCTAAACTATATGCACTGGAGAAAAATATATTAAACTCACTTTTCCAGAAACATTTTTAAAATAACACAGTTCACTCCCTTTATTAACTAATATGCAAGAATGGACTGCAACCTAAAAGATTTAATTTCCATTAGGATTTTAATTCTATATTTTACAAATAATCTGTATGTAAAGAGACCAATGATCAAATTCTCTTGGGATATCACCAGCAGAGAAATTGGCTTCAAATTTTCACTCTTAAAATGTAAAAGCTCAAGGCCCAATCCTGCACTTCATGGGCATATATCATTTTACTCATTTTAGTATACCCATTGAACACAATCAGACTATTTATTTGAATAAATGTACTCATGTTTGTAAATGTTTGCATAGGCTTAATATTAATTATATACAGAAGTTAACTGAATTATGATGTGGTAAGTTCTGGGCAGTTAGTCATGTACATTTTATTCTTAAAGGAAGGAATTAACATTATTTTAAAGGGAATTAATATTGTTAATCCTATTGATATAACTAGTATGAGTAATTTATTAAAAATACCCACAAAAGAGCCACCTACAAATACATTTTAAAAATCAAAGTTGCTATTTGGATATTCTTCCTGACTATTTCAACATACCTTATATATTTATTTTTGTCTGAATATAAAAGTTACCTTGTCAACTGGAAACAAAAATAGTTACTGCCTGCATCTTTTGCTCAGATATACCTTTTGCATCTGAGTGGTGCATGATGATGAGTGGACATTACATATACTTAAACAGATGATTTTAAGGGACTGGGAATTGTTTTCAAAGACTGTTGAAATCTGTACACATCAACATATTAGGGCTTTAAAATACTGTTCATGTTGACCTAGTTTTTACCACTTTCTGAGAATAACAGAGAAAATGACACTAATGGGTGAAGATGCAAGCCAGAGCAAGGCATGTATGAAAGTGCCACTCTATAATTATTGTATCATTTTGGGTTATGTCAAATGATTTAGTGCAAACAAAGAAGAGGTAGGTTTGAAGTTGCCAAGAACTATAATGCAAATTAATCTGACTACTTATGTTTTAGATGTAGCTTGTATTCTTTGGAGAAAGGAATGGAATAAACAATTTGTTTCTATTCTCCTATTTGACTTCATTTGGCTGATCTTCTCTGCTTTCTTCTGTAGTGCCCAGAGCTCTTTATTCACCATGGAAGCCAGGCAGGGGAATGTCACACTGGAGTACGTCTAATAAAGGACTGTTTTTGTGTATGGTTTTGACTAAACTTCAGATGATGTTAGATTGGGGCATGCTCATATAATTCTAATGAAAGCAATTCCCCAACTGAAATCAAATGAAGCTTTGCCTGCATTCAAACTGCAGGAAGTGTCCTTGGTACAGCAAACAGCCGGAGAAAGAACAGGTTCTAGGTTCCACCTGCCAATATCTAGACACAAAATAATTTGCTTAGAAATTCATAGGTTGAATTAAAACCCTATTGTGACTAGCTGTTGCAAAGCTCACTGAATTGATTTTACATCTTGGTTAACTGTACAATAGTCACAAACTCAATTAATGTACAGATTTAGGTTTATGTTGCTTTTGGTCCAGTAATTCTTATTCAATATTTATTATGGATAGAAAACAAAATTAATTGCTCACATACAGTTTTTACTGGGGTGGTATACACTAGCTAAAATATATATATCTTAAATGGGCAAGTATTATCATTTTCTAGTCCTTTACTAGGTAATTAATGCACATTTTCTTTTACAATGAGAACAAAGAAGCCCATTCTGAAAATCTAGCTAATATTGAAATTGGAGAAAACTTTTTGATGAAAGTAGTTCTGAAAATGTGTCTTTTCCTCCCAAGTTTGACAAAAATCTACTAAGTAATCATTTTGTATGAATTAATCATTATCAATAATACAATTATTGATTAATAGAAGTATTGCACTTCTAAGGCAAAATAAGTCATACCAGAGTAAGTAGTACAGTAATGGAGCCTAGTTTAATATAAGCCTAAACAGGTTTTCTTCTCCTAACATTGGTTTAAAGAATTTTCTAAAACCATCCAAACAATAAGAAAGCACTGAAAAGTGTGAACTGATTATCAGGAAAAGAATCCCCAAAAGGGAGAATCATTAGACTGTGAAGTAGCCATTTCAGGGAAGCTTTGGAAGTCCAAGCGCTGGGCAAAGCTCTCAAAAATATACAATAAAGAACAATTCTGCAGTGGCAGGGGACATGGATAAGAGATTGTGTGTTTCATTTCATCCTGTAGGACAAGTGAAAGACTGTGTCAAAAAAGACAAAGGATTAGATTCTGCTATTCTTATGTTCAGTAAGAGTAATGGAATTCCAAAAGAGTAAATTGTCTTTCTGTGTGAGAAAACATGGCAGAACTTGGTTCAAAATAAAGCCAAATTCAAACTTGGGCGAATGACATCCAAGGAAGATTTACACTATATGTTTTAAGTTATTGAGATTTGGCTAAGAAGGAAATATTACAGAAAAGAATAAATACATGGCATTAACTACTCATTTGATGGTACGTTACCAGTATAAATTATTAGAAGAGTGACTGTGCAGAACATGGCATGTATTGGTTTTAATTGAACAATAAGAATTGCAATTACCATTAATGATAGTAATAAATTTAACAGGTGCAGCTATGGGGGCTGCAAAAGAATAAAACTTGTCTTGGAAGATCTTGTCTTTTAGAATAACCAGATCATTCCTAATGTTTTTCACGTAAGTGGTAGTCATAACTGCTGCTCAAAGAATTGTCTTCCTTGGCATCAAAGATATGAAAAGTTATGTTTTTGACTTGGGACCCTGAAACACAGCATTGCCTTAAGCTAATCTGATTTTACCACAACTTTGCATAAGATACCCTATGCCTACAGTCCAGGTGTGGGAGACCTGCTGCAAATAAAGTTGATCCACTGCAAGACTTGCCAGTAGTTTTTTGTTTGCCTAAAGGGCTATCTGAAATACTTCATGTTGTCAGCTGCCAACTCCTTGGGGAGGGGAGGGTACCTTGTCTTTTTCTGCATATCTCTAAGGCATCGCGCACACACCTGCCATCCTACCACCCATGTAATAAGTAGGAATTGCTTATTTGTACAGCTAGACTTCCACCACCGCAGATGCATCCCATGACAGATGCTAGTGTATGGCGTTGTCTGAAAAGCAAACTTTCCCTGAAACCTAAATTCCTCCAGTCAAGGGCTCTCAAAAGTGCTTGATCTAATCTATGCCATGTTTTTAATGTGTCCACTCTCTCGGGCCAGTGAGCGGGTGGGAGGGGGGGGCTCTTCAGCCTTACGAGATACGGACACTGGGGGCATCGTTCGCCTTCGAAGAAGGGGAACTACTAAGATGATGATGAAGGACCAAAGCGCGCAACGAAGAGGGGATGTGTCAGCCCTGGCGCGGGACAGATCGGAAGGGAAAGGCCGAAATCAAAGGACCCCCTTCATAACGGAGCACTGGCCCCGGACTCGCCCCGCGGGGGCAGGGCAGGGGCTGCCGCTCGTCGGCTACGAGCGCTGGACGCAGGGACAGCGACTTACAGCGGAGCCAGCGGGCCCCGGCGTGGGTGTCCTTCTCCTGGATGAGCCTCCGCTGGGTGTAGCTCCGGCAGACGTACCACAGCATCCAGAGCAGCTGGACGAGCATGAGGGTGATGAGATAGGAGAGCAGGTGGCTCTTGTGGAGGCCGGCGGCGTGCACGGCCCAGGCGAACATGAGCAGCAGCCCGGCCAGGAACACGCTGAGGCCGTACTGGCTGCTCAGGGTCTCGGCGCTCTTCTGCGGGTAGCTGCCCCCCGGCCCGCGCC